ACATCTAAATTTTGGCTCAGGTATTCAAATATAATTTTGGTGAATTTGATGATGGCACAGGCAGAAAGATTCAGAGGTCCGTGGACACGTGATGAATGGCAGCTCATTTCATTCATAAATATTGCAACAGCGTGCATCGAACACTGAATGATTGTAGAAATCAAGATAAGATAACCTTTCTTTGTCTCACAATGGAGAAATTACCAATTTACAGCAGCAAAATTATGAAAGGGAGAAAGTAGAAGAACAAGAAGGATATAAATAAATATAAAATATAAAATATAAATACAAGCACATTAAAATGGGTGAGTGGGGGTGAGTCCAGGTTTTCAGGTCTGTCTATTCAGAGGGGGTCAGAGGGTCTGTCCATCATAGCTTTTCGCTTGAATACATTACTGTATTCTCTTCTTAATTATTAGGGATGGGTATCTTTCAAATTTGAAGAGGTTTTGTTCCCATTCTCGGTACCTGCGAATCAATACCGGTACACAACACTTCCAAATTTGGTAATTTTGTTCTGTTTTTTTGTGGGACTAAATGTTAATTTATTTGCCAATAAAATCACCCAAAATTCATATCATTATGCTTGTGTGCGTACAATGCGGCATTCAAGTGTGCCATGGAAAATCTACCCTTACATAGTTACAACCTAGAAAGACACGCTTCAGACAAACGATATGGCACCGTTTGATTTCACGTGAATCTGTGCTCAGTAGTTTTGACCCAAATAGGTCCATACCTAAAAAAGGACCGTCTTCCATCCTGATCCCTATTTATTATCCATCCATCCATCCATCCATTATTTGAACCTCTTTATCCTCACGAGGGTCGTGGGCATGCTGGAGCCTATCCCAGCTGTTTTCGAGTAGTCGGCGGGGTACACCCTGAAGTGGTTGCCAGCCAATCACAGGACACAGAGACGAACGACCATCCGCGCTCACAATCACACCGAGGGACAATTTAGAGTGTTCCATTAACCTACCAAGCATGTTTTTGGAATGTGGGAGAAAACCGGAGAACCCGGAGAAAACCCACGCAGTAAGAACATGCAAACTCTACACAGCACTCTACTATGCTGCCCCTATTTATTATATATATTTTTAAATCATCCTACCGGCCACGGCACAGCTATCGAAGGCAGGGTAAATCAGTTTCTTACTCTACCATCTTAGGGACATGTAAAGGGAAGGAGAGAAGGTGTTTCAATTGGAGGTGAATCAAGTAGACTTTGCTTTTGGCACGCCTAATCGATGCAAATCGTCCTTTTTTTAAATGGCGCCATGCTACTCACGAAAACATGTTTTGATTCACGAGATAGTATAGGTTTGAAGTGATTTGGTGATAATAACCCGTTGTTGCAGAATTTGCACACTACCATGCTCATTCCCACTTCTCCACGGGCAGCTGTTTTTAAAAATAAACACGATCTAGTGTACTACATCACCCTCAACATTGGATGAACATTTTCAAAGCAATGAACTTTATTTTTAGGACGTTGTGTTCGGAGGCACACTCTCTCAAATGCATTGCAGGTTGCTTCATGCATCACGTATAATAAGAGGCAAAAATGGCAGCTTTTTTTGTTACAAAGCTAAACCTATAACAAGTAATATCTCAGTCAATTAAACTCTCACTTTTCAGAAAAATTGTTGGGAATCTTTTACGTGTCATTGAATACTGGCCTTCTTACCAGAAGGCATGATTGATGGATTATATTACAGAAACTCAGAATGGCACTAACTTAGCCCTCAAAATAGTTGGCCATATGTTTATCAATCGATAAACAAAACAAAAATCACTCAACTAGACCTCTCACCTTGTCTGACCAACACAAGCCCAAAAATAATAGTGTCTGTGTGTGTGCGTGTAGAGTTCAGGCACAAACTGTAACAAGGGCATAGTTTATTAAAGCTCCCAGTAGCAATAATTTAAGGTTAGTGTGAAGAGAAGGCCGGGGTTTAATTTCCTGAGGAACATTACCTAACATCTCAAACAAGGATAATACAGTGAAGCTGTGACGACAAACACAATCACAACCTTTTTTGAACAAACATTTTGGTAAATGGGCTGTCGCTGATATACAGTAGCACTTTTCTACCTCGGGTACTCAAAGCACTTTACACTGTGAACTCTTTCACCTACTGATGACGCAGCATCAGGAGCAACTGGGTTTCAGTATTTTGCCCAATGACACTTTGACATGGTCGCAATGGCCAAGGGATTGAACCACCAACCTCTGTGGTTGGAAAACAACAATGCTACCAGGTAATTTGTACAGGTCCTAAAAACACGGCATGTAGAGTAATACTCTTTTCCAATGGTGTGTGTCAAAACGTAGCTATTGGCCACTACTTATAGGATTTGTGTGAACCCAAAAATGTAAAAAGGAAAAGGCCCATCAGCGCAAATATCAAAAGCCAGCATCTGTATTGGTATGGGGGTGTGTTAGTGCCCATGGCATAAGTAACTTGCACATATGTGAAAGCACCGTGAATGCTCAAAGGTACATACAGGTTTTGGAGAAACATGCTGCTATCGAAGCAGCATCCTTTTCAGGGACTTCTCTGCTTATTTCAGCAAGACGATGCCAAACTACATTAATTTTTAATTTTTATTTGAAAGGGACAATGCACATTAATAATCACTCGTATACCACCTGCGTAACTGTGCCCTAGTTGGCATACAGCTAATCTACATTGGTAGTCTCTTAGCAGGTAACATAAAATATAGACATGTGAAAAAGTAATTCATTCAATAATTTACATGTTCGCATTAATTCAACAATCTAAAGCGCCTAAGCGCAAGCAGTAAAGTGCAGTGTATAATTTTAAAGTGCTGCAGTTTCTCATATCGGAGTTATTTATACATAAATAATTGAGGTTTAAAATTTGCAAGAAAGTCCAGAGATGTTGGTCTTCTCCTGCCGCTTAGGGACGACTAAGACATGAAGAATTACCGCAATATTAAGAAAAATACATTCATTCATTCATTCGTTCATCCCCAGTGTGTGCATTTGAAAGATTTATACATATGTATGCATGCACTGCTGGACAACGGAGTAAAAACATGTGCAGTTGTTCAGACAATCAAGGCAAGAGGTACATACGGTATGTATACAGTATATATCATGTGACTTGAGGTCCGAACATGAACATGAATGTGAGTCCATGCAGAGTTTTGTATATAATACAGACATATTTAAAATCTTTAAATCTTCCTCATGTGTTACAAAAGGGTAGCTTCGTAGTCAAAGAGTGTGACCATTTGAGTGATCTGCCAGCAGTCCAGACCTGTCACAGAAAATGTGTGGCGAATTACAAAGGGGGAAAACATGACAACAGAGACACCGGACTGTTGAGCAACTAAAGTTGTACATCAAGCAAGATTGGGAAATAATTCCACCTTCAAAGTTTCAACATTTAGTGTCCTCAGTTCCCAAATGCTTATTGAGAGTTGTGACAAAGAAAGGTGATGTAACGCAGTGGTAAACATGCCCCTTTGCCAGCTGTTTTGGAATGTGTTGCAGGCATCAAATTCACAATGAGAGAGTATTTGGAAAAATACAAATCTAGTTTATCAGTTTGAACGTTAAATAAGTTGTCTTTGTAGTGTGTTAAATTGAATGAAAAGGTAGGTCGAAAAAATGTTTGCAAGTTTTCGAATGCTCATTTTCTATTCACATTTTACACAATGCCCTAGCCATTGGACTATGAGGTCATACTTTTTCTATCCTGTTTAGGGCACAGGTGAGTTGCGGCCTGTTCAGAAGGACAGTGGGTGAAAGGTTGACGAAACTGTGCGGACCGGTCGTCATTACAAATACTGGCTTGAAAAAATGTAAGGAAAGAAAAAAATGCATTGAGTCAAGACTGATCAATTCAATGAATTGTAGTTCTCTGAATCATCCATCCATGCATTTTCTATCGCTCTGATCCTCACTAGGGTCACGGGAGCCTACCTATCGCATCTAACTGTGGGTGAGAGGCAGGGTAGACCACTGGTTGCCCGCCAATCATGCAGCACATAGAAACAAAACCATTGGCACGTCTGGGTTTAGAATTGAAACATGTATGTTCTTGGAACGTGGGTGGAATCCCAAACAAGCACTAGAGAAAAAGCAAACCCCACATAGGAAGGCCAGAGGCTGAGTAAAAGCCCCAAAGTGTGAGGCGGTTATGACAATCACTTGTCTACCGTGGTGCCACTTCGAATCGTAATTGAAACAAATTGTGTCACCCTTAGTAACAACTAAATGTGAGTAGTTGACCTTAGACTCATGAATAAAACTTGGTTTTTAAACCACAACTCCATACACTATGGCCCATACTGTGTATTTGAATACAATATTTCATACAAACTGCGTTTTACTACGAAATATCGAACAGTTCGTCAGCACTTGAAAGACCAGTCTGTTAGAAATTAGGTCGTTTCTTTTTATTTAGCTTCTGTGACCTGTTTTCAGTAACATTTAAAATAATATATCTCAAAGGGCAAGCTTTTCGACAACAACATGTTCAAATAAAGACCAAAGCTGCGACAAAGTTACATGCTTAAATGTAACCTCGAGTACAAACACTCATTTTACAGTAACACCAAAGCTGCGTACAACCTACAAAGTTCCATGCATAAACATGCCTCGGGTACAAGCACTCATCGTACAAATAACGTCAGTATTAAACACCAAATAGAAATGAAAGGATGCTCATCAAGGGGTTGTACAATGTCGAGACTGTCGAGACTTCTGGTTCAATGAAAACATAGCAGAACTGTCCCTTCAGCACCAACAAAATGAGACTGGACTCCACGCAAAACTACCACAGCAAACAACCGCTAACAATCAGCAATGAAACTTCCATCTCATTCGACGAGGATGATTAATGTCTCTTTTTTTCCGTCGACGCTAACATATGGCGTTTGAACCATAAGAAGTCTCACATGGCAGGTGTTTGTGACGGTGGAGGTAAAATAGGAAAGAAGAGAAACGGTTCACTCCGACTTACCATCAATCGCCATGATGTTGTGTTATGGATTCAACCAAATCGGGCGTCGAAGAAGGGGGTGGGTGATGGGACCACAGCAAGAGAGCGAAGAGGGGGATTCGCGGATGGTCTCGTCCTTTATGAAACTCACTCGATAACGCCTGGGATACGAAGGACACAAAAACAACGTGCCAAATCCGATTTAAAATATTAAAAGACTTAATGGCCTTGAATGTCCCTTTTGATTCTTCACGTTTTTTAAGGTTATCATGATGGTACTGACATGGTAAGCCCTGGCTCCAATCGGTCATTATTGATGATGCATTACAGTATTTCGCGCTCAGTGCTGATCCAATGGGGTGACCCAAAGTGATTGCAATTCTACGAAGGCTGATAAAATGGTTATTAATTATGATGTGTTTATACATATATATATATATATATATATA